TTAAATCCGTGATTCACGAAATAAGAGTGCAGCTCCCCAAAAACAGAATAGCCGACGTATTTTTCCCTCGTGTGTATGCTTACCTTTCTTTTCCAAAAAGATCTTGCATCAACATTGAGTCAGAGTGGTATCATGGTTTGCGGGTTGGGACTAGGATTCTGGGAGAGCGGGGTTCAAATGCCTGCCAAGCCTCAGAAATTCATTGGGAGACCTTGGACAAGTGCCTCGCACAAAGAGAATGGCAACCCCTCTATGAATACGTTTGGTCAAGAAAACCCCCGGATAGTGTCCTCATAAGGTGAAGTCAACATGGGAGTACAGATCAACCGCAGAAATGTTATTGAATTTGGCTTGATAGTAGGATGCTTCTTTTAAAGATGTACTTTTAACATTTTTAATATGAGAGATCACAAAATGGCAGAGGTATGGGTCAACAATCGCAACCCATATTGCAAGTGATTTAGAGACATTTGCATATAAGGATCATATTATTTTTAAAGATTATTTTAAAATGCTGTTGAAATGCCTGAGGACATGTCGTCTCTCCATATCTTACAATTGATTTAGAATGTATCTTTTCCTGAGGGAATGTGGATTCATCCAATTCTGGGGACACTCTCACTTCCTTTCACTGGGGCTCAAGCAATTCAGCCTCTACAAGGGACTGGATTGGAAGCAGCTGCCACGTGATGGAGAAGAGGTGTCCTTTTCCACCTGGCCATTTGCACTGGCCTAAATCAACCTCCATGGAGCCTCCGATGGTGCAGTGGGTTAAAGCACTGAGCTGCTAAACTTGCTGGCCAAAAGGTCGCAGGTTCAAATCCGGGGAGCAGGGTGAGCTCCCGCTGTTAGCCCAGCTTCTGCCAACCTAGCAGTTTGAAAGTATGCAAATGTGAGTAGATCAATAGGTACCACTCTGGCGGGAAGGTAACAGCACTCCATGCAATCATGCCGGCCACATGACCTTGGAGGTGTCTATGGACAACGCTGGTTCTTCGGCTTAGAAATGGAGATGAGCACCAACCCCCAGAGTTGGACTCGACTGGACAATGTCAGGGGAAAACCTTTACCTTTACTGAATCATCCTCCATCCCCAGTAAGTCATACTTTAGAGAGATCTTTGGCTCCCACTCAGGAAATGAGTAACTGTTATGTATTTAGCACTGGGCTGAAAGGAAAAAGACTCAAATGCTTGGCAAGCAGGCACATACTGAAATCTGTGAGAATGCTGGACTTGACAAGCTGGTCAATTCTCACTCACTCATTCATGAAGACACACTATGCTGCTGTATCGAGTATTGCGCAGGGAGTTTAGGACATGACTTGCATACTTAAAAGAATTTGGAAGCCCCAGCAAGTCTTTAAAGTCGAACTCATTACACTGTTCCCTAATAACCATAATGGGCACCCTCAGTAGCATTTGGGCAGGGAACCAACTATGCCAACATAATTAATGTCAACGCTTCTGGTACTAAGAACCCTGTTGAATTTGGCTTGGGATGTTCTGTGAGCCACTTGGTACCAGCTTATATATCATGCAATCTTTTCCGAGTTTGATGGTATCGAAGAGGGAATTTCTTAGCAATGTTCACAAGATCAGGCAACAGCAGAAGAGAAGCTTGATTCTGAATCTGGTGATTGATAAGTTATCAGCATTCTGTGGGGAAAACAGTCCCTTTCTTGGACTGTCTTCTAGACAAGGCCAGGTGAATTGCTGCCATGCCTCAATCTGGGGACCACTGCCTGGCCTGGCAACAAATTACAAACACTTGTTATTTGGCAGATTGCAGTTGCTGTTCCTGTCTCCCTTTGCAACCATGGCTGTTCTCAGGGATCTTTCTCTCCACATTTGAAGAACACTGAAGAGGCCATGAAGCAATGGGGCTCTAGCATAGAAGCCTTAAAACTATAGGGGAGCCAACAGAAAAGCCAATGTACAGATCAAACCTGCTGTGAAGACAGCTCAAGAATGATAGACAAATGCAGAGCATAAGCTGAAAACTGAGTCAATCTAAGTCAAACCAATAGAGAGTCCATGAAGGAACGATCTGCAGAAGGCACCTAATTGATGCTGCTGCTCTGCTGGGCAAAAAGGAACTCAGGGTTTTGGTGAGAACTGTGCTAAGATGCTGTGTGGGTGGTAAGTGGGATTACTGCCAAAACGCTTATGTAAGAGCTCCAGGTTTGAATGACGCACTGCACAGGCACTGATAATTCATTTGTCTGAGTCACAAGAGACCAGAAAGAAGGATTTTAATCTGACACAGTACAGTTATCATTTCTTGTTCATTGTAAATCATGATTAAGTTACTTTTAGTGATTGGGAAACTTGTGGATCTCCAGATGTTGCTGGCCTGTAGGCTAAGATCTCATAGGAACTGATAGTCAAAAACATCTGGAGGACTACAACTTGCCTACACCTATTTTATTGTCATGAGGTGTGTCCACATTCAATGGTAGAGGGTGGAGTATCACATAGTTCAAATCATTATGCTATACTTCATGCTGTCACATTTTAAATCCAATGTTTTAGTTAGCAGTGGTTCCTAACCTTTTTTTGACCAGGAACCACTTTGACCAGGGACCACACTCCAACATTACTACCAAAAGGATTATGAATCAGTTTTTGGTCAACTTTAAGATTCGGTTTAGTTATTTGAGGTGCTGATTCAGAAAATTGCATCAGATAGTCCACATCAGCTCTAGTTTCTGATACAGAACATATGCTATCTAGTAGTTACCATCTGCTTGTCCACAGAAAACCATATTTAATAACTCTCGGCACTATAAGAAGTTTTCACGAGACCAGTCGCTCTTGTTGCAATGGTGTAGTAAAAGTGAGGCCACGGACCATATTTTAGTTCTTGCAGACCACTGGTGGTCCACGGACTACAGGTTGAGAACCACTGAGTTAAGAGAAACAGTAACTTTTTTAAATACTTCAACTATGATGGTGATATTGGGGTGTACTTGAACTACAACTCTCCAAGCTTTGGATGAAATGACTAAATGGGCCATGAAATTCTTTATGACAGAATTATGGGATGTAACTGATGTTACTTAATTAAAGTAAATCAGACATCCAAGCTCCCTGATAATGGAGTGGGAAATAACTTCGAATTAATGTCCAGCGTAAATGTCCTTAAAAAAATAAACAAAATCAGGAGTTGAAAATAGAAGACTTCCATACAATAGGTTATTACTGTTCCAATTTATAATCAGTATTACTTAGTTGATAGGAATCAATCTTGGCCGCAGACCGCCCCCCCCCCCCCAAATTCCCCAAGGGACTACTGAGACTAATGGAACAGGAAAAAAAGTTGTATTTACCCTTCCTGGACTAAGAGAAAACACATTTTTGTATGTTCTTTTGCCTACTCCAAGCCACATGGAAATACATCGTGAACTAGAACTGGTAACCGTCCAGATGCTGCCAGAACCACAGCACTAAACCAGCTAAAGATAAACTATAGTAAAACCAAAATCATTATCTTCTCAAAAAGTGAACTAGGCACAATTGGTACAAAAGAAAGTACTTAATTGAACAAGTTTTCAGTTTTAAATATCTAGGGGTTACCTTTCAAGCCTCAGGTTCTTGGGGATGCCACCAAAAATGCCAGTACAAAATGCCCTATCCAGTAGTAAAGAAATAATTTGCTTTTTTCACACCAAAGGTGGCCAGTATATATCAGTTGCAACAAAGGTCTTCCAAGCAAAGGTAACAGCCCAATTATTAAACGCAATTCCAGTATGGATTACAGGCTTCTAAAGTAGAACAAGTTCAATCAGAGTTTCTCAGAAAACTGTTTGCTGTCCCCAATTGTGTTCCATCTGCTGTTTTAAGACTGGAATCAGGTACAGCCTCACTTGAATCACTGGCTTGGAGAAGGGCCCTAGGATATTGGAAGGAGAGGGTGCACAAAGGGCCTGAAGTGGGATATACATATTTGATTCAAAAAGACCTCTTTAAATCCCACCGAATCAAAGCGTTAAATCAGACATTCAGGCAGGTGGGCCTCTCAGAGAACATATTGAGTGGTTTTGAGCATAAAAAGATAATGCAGATCTTAGCGGAACGAATCAGTGACATAGACAAACAGCACTCAATGACTCTGCCGTGCTCCACATGCTCTCCACTGAGTTTAGGCCTAACATTTAATTCTTTGGGAGATGCCAAATACTTGGAAAATTTAAACATCCCAAATTTTCATCTTGCTTTCAGTTGGGCCAGATTTAATGCCCTCAAATCAGCCATACTAGAGAGTAGATACAAAGGGACTGATTACAAACAGAGTTTGCCCTTGCGGGGAGGGTAAAATCGAAACTATAATACATGAACTTTTTATTTGCACAATTTACAAGGATGATAGACTAAGGTGAATATCCCCTCTACTCACCAAATGGCCAGGAAGAACCCTAAGTTGGTACTGCACTTATTTATTGTCTAATCTTGACAAAAGGGTAACGGAACAGGTGGCTAAATTTCTCTTTCCAGCGGCAAAAAGCCGCAAGTGCTTCATGAATAACCTGTAAACGCTAAGAGTGTAACAAAGAGTACTCGGGAGACTTATTATTAAGAGTACTCAGGAGACTTATGATCAGTTCCTGTTTTAGATTATAAAGACAGTCATTCAACTGATAGCGAATGGTAATACTTGTTTTCATTAATCATAAGCCAAATGTGATGTTATTAATTATTTAAATGTTGTATTTCATCATTCTACTTTTACTTGACTTAGCCAATGGTTTGTTGACCGAAATAAAGGCTACTGACGGACTGAGAACCACAGTACCCACCATCCTTTACAAGTAGTTCTGTTGGCTAGGGAAGATGGGCTCTATAGTCTCACAATGTTTGCATAACTACAGGATTCCCATTGTTGTTCTAGGCAGTCAACTAAAGAACAAATTGTTTTATTTTGGGAAAGTGCTCCCTGCAATAGAAAAGATAATGATACTTAATGCTTTTCACATTACAAAGCAATTAATTTGAAATATACTTGAAATTCCAACTGTCATTATTTTATTACTGTTTTGGCTACATTCTCTACAATTTCAGCAGCATCTTGAAGAGACAGTTAATGTATCCTTATATATACAATGAAAACAAAATGGCTTGCAACATTGGAAACAAGAGCCACAGTTTAAACTGTACAATATTAAACAAAAAATAAAATAAAAATAATAACCAACAAAAACGGATGGTAATACAGCCTCCCTTTTCTGCAACATGGACAAAGTTACATACAGGTATTCAGCATTGTGAATGTGACAGTAAAAGGAAATCTTGTATGGGAGAGAGATACTGCATTCTGGAAAAATAGGATTCTACCATACAAGGCAGTTCGAAAATGTTTCACATTTGAAAATAATCTATACAAGCCACAAGAAACATCTCTTGAGAAGAACATCTTCCTACCTTGTAGACAGAACTTGCAGAAACCGAGAATAACCATAAACAACTTCTACATCTAGTATCAACGTGCTCCAGCTCAGGAAACTGACTTGAACTGTACTGTATAGTTCCAACACAGATCGGTTTTACATGCCTTGATGGTTAATGAATTATCTACTTTCAGTCTCTCTAAGACGTACAGTTGACTTGCACCTTAAGGAGGTCATTTGATTTCTTCTTTTTTTTTTTTTGCAAAAGCAAAAGCAACATCATTTAGCAGCAATTAAAAGCGCCTTCAATGAGACTTAAAAAAAATACAATATCCAATTAGAAAAAGCCATACTTTAAACATTTGTACAGGAATAAGTTGCTGAAAATTTTAAAACAGAAAATATGACATCTGTACAATAAATTTACAATCGAGTTAGAAGGGAATTTGTCATTAACCTGCATAGAAACTTTGAACATGACCGCTTTGCTTTTGGTTACATACATGGCCTTTGCATATCCCTCCGTGAAAGTCTGGGTAGCAGATATCGGTTGGCAACACTGCTAAGTATCAAAATGCCATCTAAATAATTGAACTAGTTTTCGAACTAGCTTCTGCTACCTCACTGAAACTGCTATCTTTATCCCTTTGGAAATACAGTCATTAAACCAACAAACAGTTTAAAAGATTTCTCCCCAGCCCCCAAAATACTAAATCACATCTATCCAAAGAAAGTAACATACACAGCTGTGTCACTCAACTTGACTTTGGTTATTGTAATATCAGCTCCTTGGGAAGATTCTTTTATTTCACTTGTTTCTTGTCGAGCCACGAAGTTCTTCTTCCGTGCTCCATTTCTTTTCTTCTTCAGTGGAATAATGAAAAACTACCCTCCTTATTAGAACTCTCCAGTATCAACCAAAAATGTTTTAGGTATTAAAAAGATTATTTACAATGTCCCCCTCCCTATGAGCCCAAAACACACATTTTCTTCAGTCTTAAAAACACAGCATATCTGCATGGAGACAACCGGTAAGACTGTCCTTCAGCATCTCCAATGTGAAAAGTCTGAAATAAATGTGCCCTTCTCAGACCATGATCCCGTTCCATCATAGAAAATGATAGCTGCAGAAGGGCCACAGTACGAAAACACAATTGTTCAACATGTCCCGCTGTGTAAAAACACTAACTGAAGGCTTTCAAATGAAAGTCCACGGCAGCAAAACTACAAGAAGGCATCATGCACGCCTGTTCCGTGCGGAGGCATTTCAGTAGGGAATAATGCTGGATATCGGTGCTGTTGGAGATGCTGCTAGTCCAGTCATATGCAAGTTTCCTGAAGAATTTGATCTCCTCATGTGGGGAAGGAGGTAAGCATCATTCGCCAACTGGTGGACATCAAACCGGTCCTCCTTGCGGTATGCTAAGCAACGTCTGATAAAGGCCTGGGGACAAAAATAAAAGAGAAAGATTTGCTATATTTCCTTGAAAATTAAAAGGCCACTGTTTGTATATACCAACACTTCAAGTGGGAAATCTGTGCTATTCCAAGATATGAAAAAGAAGCATAAAATATTTATGTGGAATCCTCAGACACTCACTAGAAATCAGCTACCCTCCTGTATCAGAGAGAGGAGAAATAGAAGGCATGAGTTGGATGAGCCCGGGTCATATTAGGTCTTATGGAATAGTATTCCACAAATGGTCTGCAACAAGCCTTTACTCAAGTATAATGCACCATCAAATGGAATGTACACCTCAGTTCTGGAGATATGTATTACAAAAAAGGATTTGCTGCCAAATGTAATGAGAGGTGCTGGTGTCCGCAAAGAGGCTGGTGGGAAACCCTCTGGCCTTCCCACAAGCCCATTCATGGCTACCATCAGCTTCCCACAAGCCTTTTCATACCCGTCGCTGCTTCTCCGTCCTCAGCTGGGATCTCTTGCCCAACAGCGCAGACAGGTGTAGGTGTGTGATTGTAATGCACCATCAAATCTAATGCACACCTCAGTTTTAGCAATATAATTTAACCAAAACATGTGAGTGTTAGACTCGTGTAAATATGGTACTTCCTCAATCATCTGCTCACTACATTAAAAAATCTGTATTAATTTACAGATGGGCAGGCACTAACCTGAAACACTTAGAATAGTTAATTTCCATAGCATCTAAACCCCTCCCCACCCAAGTATTACTAGGAGGGGGGACCCCAAGATTATAGTGAACTGCCAATGATGTTTGAAAATACTTGCAGAACTAAGAAAGTGCTATTGTTTTAATGTCCAGTTGGGTTGTTTTTTTTTGTTTGTTTACAAAGTACACACCTTCAGAAAAACTGGAAGATCAAAATCTGCTGCTGATTCACTCAACAACCTAATTAATTTTACAATTTAATGGCTTTTTATTTTCAGCTTTCTGCCAATCCCTAGATACTTGTCTGTTCTACATTGATAACATGACACCATATTATTGTGAAAACCACTTCAAGGTCAAGCTGAAACAAATATTTTATAAACAGTTAATAATACCATAATTCTTCTATTGTAAGACACACCCTAATTAGAGTACCAGCAATGACAGCAAAAAGACATAAGATACACTTGCAATTCTAAGAGTAATTTTAGGGATGTTTATATACAGAAAAAAATCTGTCTTAGAAATAAAGAAATACAGTATAAAAAGGAGAAAGTTTTAAAATGTTACATATGAAGATGTTCTCAGTAACGGATTGCCTTATCAACAGAATTTGACAGAATACGACAACTAGTAAAGATAGCAAAACCCTCAGATTTTATTTAAATACATTTAACAACTATACAGGTAAAATGTAGATTAAAATTAAATAATAATAATAATCATCATCATCATCATCATCTTTATTTATACCCCACTACCATCTCCCCAATGGGGACTTGGGGCGGCTTACATGAGGCCAAGCCCAACAGTACATTACAATAAAATAAAAAACAAAGCAAAAAAACAAACAACACAATAAAATTAATAAAACATAAGAATAAAGTAAACAATGTACAAATACAATGAAAAATTATTCACAATCACAGTGACAGTGAGCGGGCCACATGTAGAAGATAAAATGCTAAGAACTCAGGGTGAGATAGATAAAAGTAGGCTGCAGGCCTATCTGCTCTGCTGAAGATAAAAAGACAACTGGATTTCAAAGTTGGAAGTGGACTTCCATTTTTCATTTTCATTCTTTAGCATTTATTTCCCAATTTTGTCCTCTCAAAGGCAAAAAAAGTCACTCCTTGGTCTGCCACAGTTGCCCAGCCCACCTAAGGAAATTGGTGGAAGAATGCATTGGGATGGATAAAAAAAGACATTTTGAGGTAAGCACTACTCTATGCAGCATTTCAAAAAAGCCCAAGTCAAGAAGGCCAGCACAAAAAGTAGAGGTTGCTCCAAGCAAAAGTACCACCTACTTTTGATGTTATCTTTGATGGAACTTCTCAACCTTAATCGGGAGCAAATTCCACCCTGATCCAGATTACATAGCATTCTATCAGAAGGGGTCATTTGAGTGTATTACCTTTGCTTCATTGCTCACAACAGGCTTCACTGGGAACTGCACTTCAGTAGCTTTCAATATTGTATTTTCTTGGAGTATATCTTGTTGGGACTGGTTATGACCAAATGGCTAAAACGAAAAAGAAAAGATTCAGTCCCTAAGATAATAAACTATTTTTTAAAAAGAAGAATCAATAATATTTTTTCAATTATAAAAACATGCAGCCCCCCCACCCAAGTTGTAAAGAGTGCTGGGTAACACTGGAAGAATATTACCATCTACTTGGGTGATGCATTTTTTCTCTCTAATAACTGTACTAGAGATCTTTTAGGTAAATTTCAAAATACTGAAAAACTTCACATTTAAAGATTTTATTTACCTTTCGACCATACAGACACTGAAAAAATATTACTCCAACAGACCACACATCCACCTTGTTCGATATCTTTGGGGGCTCTTTCCCCACAACAAAGCACTCTGGTGGCAAATACCTGAATGAAAGGAAGAAACAGAAGGGTGAAAAAAGGGAGGGTAAATAGGGAAAGAGAAAAAAAGGTATTGACTACGAACAGGGGTATATTTCCAGTGCCTGTCTAGTCAAATAAACGCAAAGGTACAAATTTGATGACAGGGAGCCTTCAAGAACATGTGCAATGTTCGTTTCTCATTGCACAAGCATTGTAATCACAGAAACATATGATAGAGACTACAAGTGGGAGAACTATCAAAAACTCCTAAGCATTGAATTCGCTGTGATTCCCATATGAAACTGCCAGAGTAGCAAACCCTGGCATGAGAGTGGAAGCCCCAAACTCACAATTATGATCCAAAAATGGCAAGGCTGTTTCAAAACAGTCTGAATGTAAGCCAACGTGCAAACAGATTGAAAAAGGGTAGAACTTTGAAGACTTACTTAGGCAAGTATGTAATATCCAATTAAAATATGTAATGTACTTGTGTTAAACTCAAGGCCTGTAGGCCAAATCTGACGCGCCACGTTATTTTATGTGGCTTTCCAGATGCTGGACTACAATCCTTGTATTTTTCCTCATTAGACATCACTAGAGCCATTGCAAGTTGTGATACAGAAACATCTGGAAGACTGCAGTTCTGTTTAGTCAGGACAGTGGGGTTTGAATTGAGATGCGAGGCTTGTGGATAGAACGCCTGATGTTACAATGCCCTTTAACCTTTCCCCAACCTCAGAGCCACAAGTGCTGATGGCCTGCAATTCTCATTATTCCTAGTCGGCAGGGCGGATAATCAAAAGTGATGGGAGTTGGTGTTAAATAATATCTGGGGAACGCATTGGGTAAAAAGAGCACCAACCACTGTGTCAAAAAATTATAGTTGGCCCTCTGTATCCACAGATTCTCCATCTATGGATTCAACTGCCCTTTGAAGACTGATGTGACTCTTGATGAAAGTGAGTTTGATGCTCCTGATATAATGCATTCAATATATTCAAATGGTTAAGATTGGTTGGATGCTGTTTTTTATTATTTTTCAGTGAAGCATATGACAAATCTCTTCCAACTGTATGATTCTAATTATCACAAGACAGAAGCTACAAGTAGCATATTGAAAACAAAGCTACATATTAAATATTCCTCTTTCCAGCATGAGGCTAAATCCAATGTTATTTTTAAAAAACACCAAATATCGCATTAATGGAAAGTCAGAAATCAGACAATAAATCCTTATAACAACTTGGATAACATATTCATATCTGTCACTTTTATTAATAGAAGAATACTGGGATACAAAACTGAATTAACCAAGGGCACCAAACATATCTAGATCAATATAATTACATTGGTATGAAGGGTATATAAAACAATGTTCATGATGTTACTAAACAATATATTTGTGAAATGGAGACCAATAAAATTACCAGTATGTTCCAGCTCCTTGTGAAGTTAGGTCCATCCCATCTACACCGTAACTATCATCATCCATTATTTTGGACAAGCCAAAGTCTGTTATTTTTATCTCTCCGCATGCTGTTCCATCTACCAAAAGGATGTTTCCTATCCAGAGAGAAAGAGGGGTTTTTTTAATAATAAAAGAAGTCTAGCACTTTAAATATTTCAAAATCTTAATACAGGCTGAGCATCCCTTATCTGGAATTCTGAAATCCAAAACACTCCAAACTTCAAAATTGTGCACAAGGGTGGCTGAGAGAGTGACAGCTTTGCTTTCTAAATGTTCTATATATACAGCCTTTTTTGTTTCAGATCTATGTGAAACATACAGGAACTTTAGGTTTAGTGTTAGGTCCCTCCTCCAATGCGTCTCATTATGTAGGTGTATGAAAATACAGGTTTTCCAAAATCCGAAAAAAAAAATCTGAAATCCAAAATACTTTTGGTCCCAAGCATTTCAGACATGGGACGCACAACCTATATTACATTCTGATGAGCTGATGTACTTTTCATAACTGAAATGCTCCAAACATAGGCATATCAACAGTCAGATTATCTAAAATTTATTCATGGACTCTTAAACATATAACACATATTAAAAACGAATTTACTCAATGTATGACCAATGTCTTATTGGTCTCGCGAAACCCTCTTATTAATGTTGGAGAGTGGTCCCTGGTCAAAAAAAGGTTGGGAACCATTGTGATAGATAAACTGACAGACATTTCTGTAAAGAATTAAAGTCAATGTAGGTTGTTCCCCCTGTCATGAATTCAAGATTCAAGATGAATTCAATGAACCATACTGCATAAAAGAACCCTGCAACAATTATGAACTTGGATTGGGACAGATTCAGGAAGGGGTTGGGGATTAGAGTCGACAGGACTACTAACAGGCCTGGAAAGATAAACAGGTTTTACAGAGACAACATGTTATGTGTGATGTGTCCCATAGTTCTAATTTACCTGGTTTAAGATCATAATGGATTATAGGTGGCTTAATCTCATTGAGATATCGCAGTGCATTTACTATTTGCATTACAATGGACCTGGCTTCTTTCTCAGTCATTAGTTTATGTTGCTTAAGATAGAAATCCAAGTCATTGCCTTCACAATATTCTAATACTGTACAAAACCTAAAAAGGAAGAAAATAAAATTAGTTCCCTCCAAACCCCGATTTGAAACATACAATAAAAATATGTTCATGAACGCAATACAACATTTCTATAATTATGCATTCTTTAAGATGTAAAAAAAATGTTTACAATATTTAAAAATATCTACAAAGCAAGTCAGAACTACAAAATTACACATAGCTAGAGCAACTCAATGGGAATTTGCATAAGTGCTGGCTTATTATTAAGCAAATGATTCAATGGTCTAACCTACAGCAATTAGACTTATGGTATAATATTCAAACCAAATTCTCAAGTAAGGCATTAATCATATTTCTCTGAAAACATAAAAGATGTCAGGCTGCACACTTACGTATCTGTATCTAGTGAAAAGTAGTCATATAGCTTTACTATCCTTGGATGATCCAGTTCTTTGTGTATTCTATACTCTCTGCAGGCATGCCTAAAGAGAGAATGAATTGAGACCACTCAAATATTATTGTAATTTACTAAAGAGTTAAAAAGTGTTTGTTGAAATAACACTTACTTGTGATAGTTTTCTTTTTTCTCATCTCGCCAGCTTTTGTTAAGCTGATGTATCTTGACAGCAGCATATCTTTGTTCATAGAGATCAAAAGCCTGCAAGATCAATGAAAATAGTAGACAAAGTATGAGCCCCTTCCCCTTAAATGTGGGTTAAAGCTTCAAACAAAAACACTAAGCCATACTTCACTATAAGAATGTAGGAACGTGCCTTACATTGAGTTGAATAATGAAAACTATTTGACATTATTTGAATAACCATTACATTCTTCTCAAACTACTCAAGGAGTTGTTCAGCAAAGCCCCATCATTTCTACAATTTGAAATTTCTGCAATTTGAAACCATTGCCCACTTGGCACACTTATCTACAAGAGAATAATTACCATAATATTCACTATTCCTTTCAACATATTGTCAGATTTCTATTCTACAAACCTCAAACTGAGGCTCCGATCCCAGGGACTAGTTCAGTTTAAACTAAAACTCTTCCTCACTCTTTCTCCCCTTACCTGCTCCAGTTTTACTCTGGAGCTATTCTTTGAAAAACCCTTATCAATGCAGAAATGTCACTTATAACCAATAACAAACCAGTAACAAAAAAATCTGTCACTGAATTGTTGCCAACACTGTGAACTGTCCTGAGTCTCCTTCCAAGTTGAGAAGGGCGGTGTAGAGAAGTGTTCATTATACTGTGTTTCAAACTGTGTTTAGGCTTTACATTGTGGCCAGGGCCTAGCTGAGAGAGAGAGATAGGTTGCCATGGTGACAAGCCAGAGGAGGTGGGCGGAGCTTAGGTAAAAAAGGTTTGAAAGCGACAGTTTATTTTCAGTCAGGCGGATGAGACCCTGAGGAGAGTAGCAGAGTCAAGGAGGCTCTGTGGAGTAGTGTAAATTCAGTTAGTTCTTAGGTTTTGTGAATATTATTCCAGCTAGGAAGCTGAAGGTGGAAACTCGTTAGATTGCTTGAGTAGAAAAGAATCTAACAAGAAAGGGTTTCAGGGATCCCAGTGGTGAAAATCTGGAGATCGTTGGTTTGATCCGGTGAAGGACAAACAGTTGTAAATATTCACAATAGGGAACACTGAAATAATAAAGTACCTCACTGTAGAAAGAGTTAAAGGATTGTAACATCGGAAGACTTAATGTAACTCAACCAAGCCATTTTGTATCCATCAAGCTTGTGCCAAGTTCAACAGTTTAATTTTGCAACAATTTACGCTCTGATAACAATAAACCTGTTCTTTTTGTGTTTTAAACTTGCCTCCTTCACTGATTTCCACGTTTGAAGCATTCCACACTACCCAAGGTGCCTCACAACACAGATAAGGATAACCAGAGATCATTTTTACCAATATCACTTATATTATGGTGGCAATTTAAGCTAGAAGTCTCAAATCTTTATTACATCTGTGTGGTGATCCTATTTATTTGGGATTTTACACCATTATTTCATTTTGGAGACTTCCTCACATATTTTGGTGGCAGCAAGTGAACGGTTTTAAATTTTTAGTAACAAGCGGTGGGAGTCACGGCTTCGCAAATTTGGTGGCAGCGGTGGGATTCGTGTAACAACTGATCGAGTGCCTTAAGTTAATTTTGAAATAAGTTGTGAGGTAAAAGTTGCTGAAAGATGGCTACCAGGCGACAGAGAAAGCTGGCTGAGGAAAGAGAGGGAGACCAAGAGGAAAGTTCGAGCTCTGAGACAGAGACCGAACCGATGCCTTTCTCAGAAATGGCCTATAAGTATAAACTGGAGATGAAACGATTGGAGTTTGAAGAAAAACAGAGAGAGAGAGAAATGGAGAAAGAGGCAAAACAGAGAGAGTTTGAAGAAAGACAGAGAGGGAAAACAGAGAGAGTTTGAAGAAAGACAGAGAGTGAGAGAATTGGAACAGGAGTTAGAATGAAGAGAATGGAGTTTGAGCTAGAGAAACAAAGATTGGCTTTGTCTCGAACAGCCAGTGAAACCCAGGAGGGAAGATCTGGAGGAAATACCCCAGATTTGATGAAGAAATTCCCAAAATTCAACAAAGACGATGATCCAGAGAAATTCCTAATATCTTTTGAGAGATGTTGTCGAGATTTTGGGGTGGCTAAGGAAAAATGGATGACATACCTAAGGCCTCAGATAAGTGGGAAACTTTTGCAGATTTATGGACAGATGTCTGAGGATTCATATGGAGACTATGATCTGTTTAAGAAACAGATTCAACAAGAATTTAGATTGACTCCTGAATATTATAGATTTAAGTTCAGGACATTAAAGAAAGATAAAACTCAAAGTTTTGGTCAGGTGGCCTCAAGATTGTCTCAACTGTTCGATAGTTGGATAAGGACATCTGAGGTGGAAGATTATCAACAGCTGAGGGAACTTTTGAAGCTGGAGCAGTTTTTCCAACTAGTGCCTTATGATATTCGTTGGGTGATTCAGGATCGCAAGCCATCCACAATTGTAGAGGCAGCGGGTATGGCAGATCAAATAACAACCTTAAAAGAAGGATTTAAGAGAAAAGATCTGCCAGGTGACAAAAGAACAAGAATGTCAGTTTTCACCTATTTGATCATTCCCCATTGGTTTACATTGAAATCGCAAGCCGTCTCAAAAAGACTCAAGTTACTGCAAGAATGTAAGTTTTCACCTATTTGATCATTCCCCATTGGTTTACATTGAAATCGCAAACCGTCTCAAAAAGACTCACGTAACTGCAAGAATGTCAGTTTTCACCTATTTGTTCATTCCCCATTGGTTTACACTGAAATCGCAAACCGTCTCAAAAAGACTCACGTAACTGCAAGAATGTCAGTTTTCACCTATTTGATCATTCCCTTTGGTTTACATTGAAATCGCAAAGCGTCTCAAAAAGACTCAAGTTACTGCAAGAATGTCAGTTTTCACCTATTTGATCATTCCCCATTGGTTTACATTGAAATCGCAAGCCGTCTCAAAAAGACTCAAGTTACTGCAAGAATGTAAGTTTTCACCTATTTGATCATTCCCCATTGGTTTACATTGAAATCACAAACGGTCTCAAAAAGACAAGTTACTGCAAGAATGTCAGTTTTCACCTATTTGATCATTCCCCATTGGTTTACATTGAAATCGCAAACCGTCTCAAAAAGACTCAAGTTACTGCAAGACAGTTTTCACCTATTTGATCATTCCCCATTGGTTTACATTGAAATCGCAAGCCGTCTCAAAAAGACTCAAATTACTGCAAGAATGCCAGTTTTCACCTATTTGATCATTCCCCATTCGTTTACATTGAAATCGCAAACGGTCTCAAAAAGACTCAAATTACTGCAAGAATGTCATTTTTCACCTTTTTGATCGTTCCCCATTGGTTTACATTGAAATCGCAAACCGTCTCAAAAAGACTCGTTACTGCAAGAATGTCAGTTTTCACCTGTTTGATCATTCCCCACTGGTTTACATTGGAATCGCAAACCGTCTCAAAAATACTCACGTAACTGCAAGAATGTCAGTTTTCACCTATTTGATCATTCCCCATTGGTTTACATTGAAATCGCAAGCCGTCTCAAAAAGACTCAAACTGCAAGAATGTCAGTTTTCACCTATTTGATCATTCCCCATTGGGTTACATTGAAATCGCAAACGGTCTCAAAAAGACTCAAGTTACTGCAAGAATGTCAGTTTTCACCTTTTTGATCATTCCCCATTGGTTTACATTGAAATTGCAAACCGTCTCAAAAAGGTTCAAGTTACTGCAAGAAGTCAGTTTTCACCTGTTTGATCATTCCCCATTGGTTTACATTGAAATCGCAAACCGTCTCAAAAACTCAAGTAACTGCAAGAATGTCAGTTTTCACCTATTTGATCATTCCCCGTTGGTTTACATTGAAATCGCAAACCGTCTCAAAAAGGCTCAATTAACTGCAAGAATGTGTTTTCACCTATTTGATCATTCCCCATTGTTTTACATTGAAATTGCAAACGGTCTCAAAAACTCGTTACTTCAAGAATGTCAGTTTTCACCTATTTGATCATTCCCCATTGGTTTACATTGAAATCGCAAACCGTCTCAAAAAGACTCACGTAACTGCAAGAATGTCAGTTTTCACCTATTTGATCATTCCCCATTGGTTTACATTGAAATGGCAAACCGTCTCAAAAAGACTCAAGTTACTGCAAGAAGTCAGTTTTCACCTGTTTGATCATTCCCCATTGGTTTACATTGAAATCGCAAACCGTCTCAAAAAGAGTCAAGTAACTGCAAGAATGTCAGTTTTCACCTATTTGATCATTCCCCATTGGTTTACATTGAAAAGACTCAAGTTACTGTAAGAATGTCAGTTTTCACCTATTTGATCATTCCCCATTGGTTTACATTGAAATCGCAAACGTTCTCAAAAAGACTCAAGTAACTGCAAGAATGTCAGTTTTCAACTATTTCATCATTCCCCATTGTTTTACATTGAAATCGCAAAAGGTCTCAAAGAGGCTTAATTTACTGCAAGAATGTCAGTTTTCACCTATTTGATCATTCCCCATTGGTTTACATTGAAATCGCAAACCG